ATTAATCCTTGAATATAAAATCCATTGATTTTAATTTACAGAGTGGCGAAAAAATTAATTTTAATTTACATGATTTAAAAAATTTTATGAATTTTTTCATTTCACTTGAGACGGTTTTAGTATTAATATATTTCTATAAATGGAATTTCATAAAATCTTTAAATTAAAATTACAAGATCAAACAATAAAGTTTTAATTGAAACAAACTAAATTACAGTTTAGAACTGAGACGAATTATACGGAACTATGGATTAATATTTTTTATTTATTCATACCAACAAGGTACATGTTTTTCGTGCTTGTCATGCTCCTCACGCGGATGATAATTTAATCGATCTACATGTAGATTTTTTTTAATAAAAAATTGCATTTTCTCTTGCTGGTTAATTTATTGATAAAAAGAATCAAAATCTTTTGAAAACAAAAATTCTAATAAACAATTGAATTTTTATTGTTATTTTAATCATATTTGAGTAATCATTGTTTCTGAAACAGTCGATTATTCTCATAACAAATAAAGACAAGTGTTTTAATGAACTTGAAAAATTTATAATTAATTGATTTTATCAACTCTAAATTATCCATTAAATAAATGTTTGCGATAGTAAAGTTATGTGATTTATTCTTTGTCCTCCATATACTTGGAGAGAGATTGCTATATATACTTTTGACGACAGATAGTAGATATGGGACAATGCTGCATATTTCTTCCAAAGGTTTTCATTTAAGAACACTTGCATTTTTTTTTGGGGTCAATGTTGCCTCAAAAGTTTCAAATTATAGCATTGTTGCCTTGGTTATTATCTAAGTTAAATTTGATTATTAATTAACCAAATATGTTGAGTTGATAGGTTCACATGTCGCCTTCCGTGGATTTTTTGGTTAAGATGCAGATTTACTCAATAACTTTTCATTCAGGAACGCTAAATATTTGAAGGTTTTTTTTGTTTTATTGTCAATCCAAAAATTTTCAAATTGTAGATAACCGTTTTTTTAGATAAAATTTGACTGATAGTTGAATAAAATATGTTGAGTTTGTAGATTTACATGTCATCTACTTCATTTTTTTGCTTAACATCAGCTGTGAGAAATGCTTTTTGTGCTTTTCAACAGGCTGCCTATGGTTATGTGCAAAATTGATCTCATCGTTTACGCCTCTCAACCATTCTCATAAATTTCCCCTCTACATAAATCATCTATTTTTTTCTGCTCTGCTTTCGTGTTCATAGAAGTATCAAACTAAGAATGAATGGCACTGTGGTTTTATTTTTCTTTTTTTCAGCGAATGAAGTGATCAAACTCAGAATTGTTCTTTTACAAGAGAAATGGCATTGGGGTTATAAACCAGAAATAAAGTGGATGGCTTGGAAAAAAACGAAGGGAGTGACATTTGGACTTATTGGCTCGACATATCTGTTCATTAATAATCAAATTTAACTTGAACAACAACTTGGGCGACATTATATTGTTGTAATTTGAAAACTTTAAGATATCCAATGCTTTTAAGTAAAAATTCAAGGCAAATATACACCTTAATTTGAGAAAAAAAAACCTGAATGACAAGCGAACCTATCAATTTAACATATTTAGTCAATTAATGATCAATTTACCTATATAATGGTTAAAGCAATATTATTATGATTTGAAAACTTTCGAGGCAATACTGAACTCTATAAAAACTTTCACATGTTTAATGCTTTCAGACGAATAAATTTGCAACCGTTAATATATTATACACAGGTATGTTAATAAGATTGCGGAAAAGAATTTGAAAGAAATATTATCCATTGACATTCGATGAAAGAGCACGGACATGACCGATCGATGGACAAAAGACCTTGCGTTATTTTACACGCATTCCCCCTCCCCCCCAAAAAAAATCACAACCCATGCAATTATTATACCCTTTGTAAATGATTTGAACTCGCAATTTCGTACTCAAATAGGGTTGGAAATATGTTAAGCTAAACGTCAGCCAAATAGATTTGGGTTTGAAATAAAGGTCTAAAGCCACCTACAAATAGACTTTTTTACGCTCAGATTTCAACCTTCATAAACTCTGGTTAATATGATTTGCCTTCTTATCAATGTATCCATTAAAGAACCACTGAGTGCTTGGATCAACTGGCATGGGGTTGTTTCAGCTTAACCAAAGGTCACGAGTTTGATCCTTTAGGCACGCAGCAGCATAAGTGGTAGGGGGCGCCGCTCTTTAAGGGTGCGTCAAACCTCCGCTCCAGATTAGTTTGAGCCTGTTAACGTGCCTAGAAGATAGCCTTAGCTCAGGAGATGGGAGGGAAGAAATTCAAAAAAAAAAAAAATCTATTAAGGAGCCCACCAATGTAAATCTTTTCATCTTGTTGTAGTATGCCTTGAATCAATCCATCTAAGTCTTCCCCCCCCTTTTCTTTCCTTAAGACATGCTTCTCTAGCCTACTCGAGATGCATAAGCGCTAATAATGTTAATAACTTCTTGTCGAACAATTACCTCAAAGTTGTTCCCAATGCTTTAAACTTTCACCACATTCTTCTTTCACTCCCTATCAACAATATAACAATACCAATATAATCCTGTACTTACTTTTGCATGTACCAAAATTTGAAATCTGCAAGTTTCATAGTGTTTTCTCTAAATCTAATAATTAGTTTCTTGAAAGCACGTGATGTTAATATACTACTTTTGGTCCTGATTATAAAATTTCATTTGTAGATTATAAATAAGGTGTTATAATAATTAGGATCTTTCGTAGTATTTTTCATTTTTATAACTCCCATCACCTCCATAGAGGGAAGATTCCAGTATTCTACATACTGAATCTAACGTTTTGTCTATATCCATAAAGTTTTACATTGGCGATCACAAGCCTAAGCCTAACACTATTCTTCTCTATTCAAGATTGGATTCACTAAAAGATATTATAATATAGGCGGGGTTTCATGTCTAATCAATATACAATAAAACAAACTACATCATAAAGTTATAGTGGTACTTATCTCGTACTCTAACAAGGGACAAATTGCTAACTAATATTACCTCAGTCCTAATTATAAGAGCTAATTGACTAATTTGAGGAGATTAAGAAAATAAATTAAGTTAGTTATTTGTAACAAATAAGTGTTATCTTTCTTAAAATATCTTTACTAATCAAGTGTATTGGCTAGAACTACCATTGCTAGGAGGATTACTTTGGAAAAAAACGCATAAATATGAGAAACAAAGTAGGTTGAGAACTTATATTTAGAACCAAAATAAAAGTCAAACAAGGTCTTATATTAAGAACCGGAAGTAGTATTAAAAAAGAAAAAGCCCATCGAAAATTACAAACAAATTAAAGGAGCAGTACATTTGATTGCAAATAAAATAAAATAAAATAATATCAATTAAGTCTTAAAACATTTCCTGAAAAATGAGTTGTAAATATGTTTAGTTTGATTGCAAATCCAGCATTTAAATTTTACAAGTAGTTTTCAATGATTTGCATGATATCTAAGTTCAAGTTCATGTAAATACAAAAAAATTCCTTAGGAGAATATCTCTAATTGGAACAAACAATGCTCGAATTTAATCAAATTAGGTACTCATATAAATATACACACATGGAATCTTTATGATTATCACTAAAGCCCTTTCGGGAAGTATACAGTGTGAGATGATTGGTTGTTGCTACCGGTGTTTGGATACCTTAGGCTCAATTTAAAAAAAAATTATATACATACAGAATTCATACCATTCTAGCGTTGTTAAGGCCCAAAGAAAACGTTAACCTATAATGGAACTTTTTATGCCCAAGGGAGTGAAACCAAGAGCCTAAATGCCCACACATACACCAACGCAATCCCATATGAGCCGATCCAACAAAATTCAGTAGCCTTAAAAACACCAAAATGCTTTACCTTTCCCTAGGTTCCGTATGCCCCAACACCAAACTATGAATCAGCAACCGCAAAAACACTCATACCATAAATAAGCAAATTATAACTTAAAATCCAAACCAAATTCATTCCCACAATACCAAAGGTCCAATAAATCCAAATACAATCATAAACCAAAGAATATTGGGGGGGGGCCATTGAACCCAAAAAGACATATTAAGCCAAGATATAGTCATAATCAAAAGTCAAACCCATAATCAATTTCATTATGAAAAACATAGGACGGTGATCATATCCTTATTGACAAAGGTCCAAGGTTCAAGCACTAGTTGCTGCGTTGCACATCTCAAGATTCACCTTTCTCCTAAGGCATCCAATTTTTTTTTTCCTTTTTAAAAGGGCTATGCCTAGGATAATATAATTATATATCTATATAGTTATGAGAAATTTACAGCATTGTTTTTATTAGTAAATGAAAATCGATCCAATAAGGGTATGACTTATATTCTAGAATTAAAAAAAAAAAAACTCATTCGAATGCTTCGTTTTTCTGGTAAAGAAATGCTTCACTTTTTAGTTTTTACTGACACTAAATAAGGGATTTGACCACTTTTAGAGGGCAAAAAGAAGTGTGGCTATGAACCAGATAATGGGGAATTGAAGGCTTACTTTAAACCAAAGAAAATTTTAGATGATATATTTCATGCTTTTTATAATTCTATTTATCCATTTATGTTTTAGTTACGTTAGGAAAATTTGAAGCTTGATCTCTTTCCAGGCCCAAAAGAAAAAGAAGAAAAAACCTCCACTCACGCTCCTGCCCTAACCGGTAACCATAAATTAGCCTCAAGTGGACTTTTAAAACTTTATTTTGTGTCTATTTTATCTTCATACAATCATCGGCTTCTTATAAATAAGTTTTTCATTGTTTATTAGACCACTCTATAAATTTTTTAAATTTCATTTGCTTTTTGGTCAGCAAGAAAAATAGAGTATGTATTATTTATATCACAAATTTATTCATCTCTGTAGTAAGCTCGAGATCATATATATGACACAACAGTATAAATTTAAGCAAGATTTTTATTGGTATTTCTAAACATGAAGTTTCAATAAAGACAAGAGCCCTACTGTTTAGTACAATCCATAGGCTTAAAAGAGACCACTTGTGCTTCTAAATCAAATCCAATTAAGTAATTCGCTTGCACAAAATTACCATAAATTCCAACATCACTACTAGTATTTGTCATTGCAAAGCAAAAGACCCCATCTTTCGGAGGAATAAAGGTATGTATTGGATTCAACACAACGTCTCCACCTTCAAAATGAGCCGTCAATTTTGGACCATTAAGATTAGTATTTGTTCTGTAACAAAGTTGGTTCCCTAATTCTGGATCGTCTTCAATAGGTTCCAATGAAACCACTTGTTTTCTGACTTCCGATACCAATCTGTCATAAAAATCTTGAGGTAATATAGTTGGAGGCGTGCCTGAATCAAGAAGCATGTTACCTTTTGCAGCTGCAGCATTATTGTTACCATTAAAGGGAAGGAACGTGCTTTCCACACTAATTCCATTTAGTGTAACAAAGTAAGGTGTTTTGTCTTGTTTGGATACTAAAGGTGTTGAAACAACACCATTTCCTGAAACTTGACTTCCATCACCAAAACTCATTTTGCTTGAAATTCTTGTGTCAGTGTGAAATGGAACCAAACACTGTGAAAACAATTTCTTGATTCCAAAAGAAGAACCCATTTGAGAAATAAGGGACAATGGTCCTCTACCTAGTCCTACAATACCCATCTCATGATCATTGAAAGTTCCTTTATCATTATGTCCACAACCAAAAACAACGTTGTTTAGGGTCGTCATCACCTGGCCACCTTTTCCTCTTGTGGTTGACTTCAAAGTGAGTGTTTCCTGTGATAAAAAGCCATGAGTTTCTGATGAATCTGCATAAGCGTAAGTGTAATTGCAGACTTTTTGGTCACACCCACGAGAGACTGGATCAAGCATGAGACATTGAGACGATGAGCAGGAGACAGCTTTGTATGTTGACGACGTTTGAGGATTGAACAAGGGATTGATTTGTTTGTAGCAGCCATCGCAGGGAACACATTGAGTCCATATAAGGTCACTTCCTGTGTCTGCTATGCCAAATATTTCCTTTGGTGGTGTCCCTAAGGATATCTTTATGAGATGTTGACCTAGATACCCATTTACTGGTGCTTGAGCAATTTTTGATGATGAAGATGGTGACAACTTCACGGGACGACCTCGCCATGGGATCAGTTCAACGCCAAAGCCGCCATTAATGGCTTTTACAGGAGAAGAAGAAGAAGAAGAAGAGAATAGTAGTAACAGATGAAGAATGAGGATCTTCGTTGTGATATTCATTAATGGAATGCCCATTATAATGAGAGAAAATGAGAGTATTGGCTTATGGTTAATTAGGTGGAAGAGGACGAAGAGCTTTTTCGTAAGAGGCTTGAAGTTCTGTGGATTTTATAGATACTGTTAGCTAGGGTTCGTGTTCATTATACACGACTGTGCAAAAGAAGCCGTTGATGACCTAACAAGGATGTTAGGAAGATTTGGCTAACTACGTATAGTATGAACTAATCTCGGAAATATATCTTCTGCATTAATATGTTTATCAATCTCGTACGTGTTTTATTGGATGACTACGTGTGTACGTCTTTCACATATTCATGTAAATTGTTTTCAATTTTATTTGTGAGAAAATCTCATATGCAAATCTCTATAATTTTATCTTATTAAGTCTGCATGTAGGTTTTTTCCTTCTCTTTATCGAGTCTTTCTAGTTTTCTCAATTACAAATATTGCTTCTCATAATTTGTTAATTTCTATAAACAAATTTTGCCATATATATATCTAGATAAAATGAAAATCAACTAGATTGGAAACTATATATATAGATGCAAGGAAATTAGGAAGGGATCATGAACATAACAACTTTGATTCTGTTCAATTATTTTTGTATTTCAAATATTTTTGTTGTTAATGTTTCATTCTGTTCAATTTTTACCTTTATATTGGCAATAAATAAATTTTATTCCATTTTTTTAAAACATCTCTTTCTTTTTGTATTTTGTGACCATTTATATGTTGCTTAGTAAGAACCCACGTCAATCATAATTAATATAGAGATTAATATCTATAATTAAGACAATTATAAGGCCCAATAATAAATATTATGGAGACTTAATTAAAAATTAAGTGAAATTATAAGAACTACAAACTAATTTCCCTTATTTATTTTCTTATTCATTCGATGATGTGCTAATTATTATACACAGTGATTTTCATTACAATTAAAAACTGATGTTATCAAAATACATCAAGGATACGTAATACTACTATATAATTATCAGAGAGAATGTGCAAGAGTCTATCGAAAATTAATTGGAAATGATCTTCGTCTCTTCGTCTTTCCAACGCAGAATCAAGGAGACGATATATATATATATATATATATATATATATATATAAAATTCAATTTGAATTTCTTTTTTGGGCAAGAAAATCAATGAAAATGTTAAACTTATCCATTAGAAGAGAGATACGCAAGGGCAGATTTTTCATTCTTATGCCCCTTTTAGTTTAGATTGTAATGTAGATGGAATTCATATAGAACGTACATGGATTTCATTCTTGAAAGAGATAGAGATAAGATTCATATGTAGGAAGAAAATTATAATTATAATTATAAATTATAAATCTTAAAAACGAACGTGTTGGAGTTAATGACTGGCCAATCACAGAAAACTTATACTAAACGTCACAAATGCTCTTCTGAAAAATTAATCATCAATCAATCAACTATCTAATATTCTTGAAATTTTATAATACTCCATTCGTGTAAAAATGAGTCAGATATAATATTATGGGATCTGAATATATGTAATTAATGAAATTTGAATAATATCTTGATTGGAATTTAAATGTATTGAATTAAATAGGAAGGATTATAATTAAATGAGATTTTCATTGGAGGCTAAAATGGAAAAATTAATAATTAATTTTGGATTTGAAAAATATCTTAATTGAGATTTGAATATATTGAATTAAATGAGGGGTATCATTATTAAATCAGATTTCAATTGAGTGCTTAAATAAAAAAATCAGTAATTAATTTTAAATTTAAATAATATCTTAACTGGGAGTTGAATATATTGAATTAAATAGGAAAAATCATAATTTAATAGTATTCCAGTTGAAGGCTTAATTGGAAAAATAAATAATTGAATCTTTAGCAACCTAAGATAATGCAATCTATTAGAATTTCAAATCTAATCAAATATAGTAATATAGTACTACGTGCATTGCAGAGGAGAAAAATTTCTATTTATAATCTTTAAATTGAGTAAATAAAAAAAATAAATCCTTTTATACTTGATCAATCTATGTAAAAATCATTTTTGAATATTTTCATACTTTATTATTTTGTTATCAATAATTCATAATTTATTTAAAATAAAACATAGCATATTATTATTTTTATTAAATATGTGAATAATTTTTATATTAATTATTAAGTTGATAAAAAATATTTTAATAAATTTCTAAAAATTTAATGCAAATGGCTAATTGTTTGTATTTCAAAATTTAAAATTCGATTAGTTTTTGAACGTTTCCAAAACCATGTTAGTGCAAAATATAAATATATTTTTATAATTACTAATATTTTAAAAATAGGACACATAACTATAACGATTAGAAAATTTGATATAATAAATATAAAGAACTTGATGTAAGTATTAAAAAAAACTCAAGTTAAACTGCTTATATCCATTATGTGAAGTTCTTTAATCAAACATAACTATGTGTCTATTTTTATTATCCAATCAAGAAACTGGATGTAAGTATTATTCTTAATTAAAATGATCACAAATATTTAATATTTGATTAATCATTTCTTATTGTTGAAGAAATCGGTTAAAACAATATAACTTCTGAAAGAGAAGAAAGAAAGAAAGTGATTTTTTGTGTGGCCAGAAATAAGAAAGTAATTGCTCCTTTAAATTAGAAGAAAGACCTGAATGAATAAACATTTGAAGAAATCAAGAGTTCAAATTCTCATATTTAGAGTAGTCACAACTAAACAATAGTAATTAGAAGTTCTTTGATCTTGTGTCTCTTTGCCTATCTAAAGTTTCGAGTCTGTATTTTAGTGCATAGCGCACACATCTTCAAGGCATTAATTACATTTCTCACAAACACAGGGATTGTTAAATACCAAAAAGGAATACATGATTATCACGAATCTATTATATATCATAAGTCAAATAACTCTATGTATGCACCTGTTCTGAAGTTGGCATTACAAATCGCCTTCACTAGTCAAAGCCAGAACACAACTTTTGATGAGATAGACCGCAATTCTTGAAACAAGTTATGCATCAGAAACAGACAACGTCTTAAATGTAACTGATATATGTCAGTCATCAATCAACCGACACAATATCTTCAATTTTGAAGCCCATTCACACCTACATAATAGTTCAAATGCAAATGAGCTTCAAGCATTTGGTCAGATGCTTAGAGATAAACCTGCGATTCAACTGCTTACATATATAATCTGGAACTTATAAAGCTTGAGATTTGGTTGGAAAAAGACTGCAAGTCAAACTGAATGTAACAATCCCCACACGAAGAAAATTGAGGCATCAATTAAATTCGACCTTGCTCTGGCTGAAACAATAGTGACAAGCCTAAGAAAAGAGGTGAGCCGGAGAGGAAAAGAGGTTCAAACACGTGTCTACATTTATTTTATTACTTTAAAGAATTCCCTTGTAAGTAAACTTAAGATGAGTCCGACAACCGGGGAAGACCTATCAGCAATGATGTTTTAGGGATGAGTCCAGTAGAATCTGTTTTACATCGCCATACACGGAGAAAATGCAACAGGAAAAGTTCGAGGCAGTGCAATTGAGGTTTTCTCTCAAGTTCCCGAAAGCACATCAATAACAAAGTGAAAAATTCAGACATAGCAATTGTTGACAATGAAGCTGACGGCAAATCAAGGTAGTCTGAGCAATACACTAATAGTGCACCAATATGATGAATCATATAAACAAACTAGCACTGTTTGCATCTACCAATAATCATTACAAGAACAGATTCCATCTTTGAAGTGATGATACCTAATCCGGTCTCTGACTATAATTACTCGGTCATAAACCATAGAAATGAACTTTGTTGCTTGATGGCAATCCCAACAAACTCTTAAATTCTTCACAATGCGAAGGGATGTTCCAGGTTCTGTGTTCATCAACCCAAAAGCTATAGCCAACTTCTCACTGTGTATGGACAAAGCTGTCTCTTTATCTTCCTCATCATCAATATCAAGCAAAAGTTCACCAAATTCTGGAACATAACCAGCATTCCTCAACTTGGAAGTCATCTCATCCAAAAATGAATATAGCTCTTTAGTTTGAGAGTGGGATCTATCTCCAACAAGAAATTGATAGAATATGCCCTTCAGCTCAATTGAGCTGCATCCAGGAGTTTTCTTTCTTCCCCAATTGACTCCATTCTCTCTCAACATTTTTGCTTCAGTCCATCTTCCAGACATAGAATAGATATTGGCCAGTAGAATGTTACAACCAATATTGTCAGGATCCAATTCCTTAATTGTTTTGCCTATCCTGTGTCCCCGCATCACATCTTTATGGATTCTACAAGCATTGAGTAGCGCACCCCAAATTGCCACATCTGGAGTCATAGGCATACTTGAAATCATGTCTTCAGCCTCCTTCAATAGGCCAGCCCTACCCAGTAGATCTACCATACAACAATAATGCTCTATTTCTGGCTTTATCCCATAATCACACTTCATCGATCTGAAATAGAAATTTCCCTCCTCAACCATATAGCCATGGCTGCAAGCATTTAATAGAGAAACAAATGTGACCTTATTAGGGATAACTTTTTCCATCTTCATTTGTTCAAAAACTTTGATAGCCTCGTTCGGCTTTCCATGCATTGCAAGCCCACCAATGATTGCATTCCAAGGCCAAACTTTTCTCTTAACTTTGTGTTCATGGAAAACTCTTAATGCAAATTCTATCTCTCCACATTTTGCATACATGTCAATAAGGCCAGCATGTAGTCTTTCATTCAACTTAATCTCACCTTTGTCAATATAAACATGAATCCACTTTCCCTGATCCAAGGCTACTAAATTTGAACAGGCTGCAAGAGCACTTACCAAAGTAAATTGATTTGGTTTGGCACCAGCTTGCAACATCTTGTGGAAGAAATCCAATCCCTCCATGAAAAAACCACCCTATAATATTTGAGAAAAAGTTTAAACCACTTTAATAGTTATGGTGATTATGTGAAGCAAAAAATGAAAGGACCAAGCTTTAATATGGCGTTTTAAGCATCTATATTAGATTCTCGAATGAAAATATGACAAATGGAGTTCTTTTACAGCTCAATAATGCAGGATTGGTCTCCTTTAAAAGTCATGTTATATATTTATTAAGGAGTCTGACAGTTTGATAGCAGTAAACGCTAAGAAATTTTAACGAGTCCTATTCAATAAGACAGTCCTCCAGCCACGAAATTCTATACTATAAATAAAACAGAAAAAGGGGAAAAAATCCAGCAAAACATAAGAGGTTAAATTGCATGTGTTTAATTTACACTACTGAGTACCTGCACATAACCAGCTATGATAGTACTCCATGATACAACATCTTGCTCTGGCATTTTGCTGAATAATTCTTTGGCTTGACCCATTTTGCCTGATCCAGTGTACACAGCCATCATGGTGTTCCAGGAATACATATCCCTAGCCACAGCCCAATCAAAAACCTTTCTGCCCTCCTCTACTAAACCCCACTTTCCATACATCCCAATTAAGGCATTAGTAACAAATAAATTGTTCTCAAAACCAAGTTTTATGGCATGAACTTGAACCTGCTTTCCCTGAAGGATCCCCAACCCGTTTCCACACGCATTGAAAATAAACACAAAAGTATACTGATTAGGCAAAAGACTTGAACTCTGGGTCATTAACTTGAATACCATGAAAGAATTATAAGATGAAGTGGGTGAGAGTGCATGAGCTTTTATTATGGTGTTGTAAACGAATAGGTCTGGATGGGGAATTTGTTCAAATACTTGATGGGCATAATGCAAAGAACCGAAGCTAGAAAAGCCAAGAAGTTTGAGGAGCTTATTGGCTGGAATGGGATGAAAAATTAGGCCGGTAGTGATAAGTTGAGCATGTGTTTGCTTGATTTGTTGGACTGAACTGCAAACATCTAAAATTGAAAGAAGGCCATAATCTGCATTGAAAGGTTTTCTGAAAGTGGAGCAGCAACGGATCATTCTTAGCAGTCACGCTCAACCATTAGGTCAGGCAGCGATAGAATCAGAATTGGACCAATCTGAGGTTGCACTACCAAGTTGCCTTCCAAATACCACAGATACAAATGAAAGTTTGAGTGGAGAATGAAGTGGATGGACGGACAAGCCCCAAAGCACTGTCAATTTGAGCACAATGTTGGCAGAAAAGAGAGAGAAAAAAGAGGAGACAAACCAAAAATATCCCCACAGAACAGAAAAAAGAGACTTAATAATTATACTCAATCTTGAAATGACAGTGCAAAGCAAGCTTAAGAAATTGACCATGTCCTCTTGAATCAAGATGTGCTGTTGCAAATGGTATAGTTCACTGGCTCCAAACGAGCAATTGTGGCTTTGTAACACTGTTCAAGGCATTGCTCTGAATATTCTATCTACTCTTTACCAAAGTCATTTTTGGTTGCACTTGTACCTAAAGGCCTTGATGTTGAAGAGTAGTCATAAAAACCTCCCAATAGCATATCATGCCACCAAACCTCCAAATGAATGTGCCACAAGGGAGAATTTTCGCACCTCAAGCCAATGTCTAACAACAGACCATATCTTAATATAAATTATTGAAAGCCAAAGATTCAGAAATGGAATAAGACATTTCAAAGTTAATATTCCTATGCCAAAGATCATTGAGTCCAGTGGCACAAGATGCACCCTTTGTGGCACCAAGTTTTAGGTTCAATTCCCAACTCAGGCTTTGCGCCTACCATCAAAGTTCAAAAAAACAAAAAGTTAATATTCCTGTGAAATAACAACTGAACAGTCTGGAAAATATGAGAAATTAAGATGCTTGTATATTCTTTTGAAAAAAAAAGGGGATAATATCATTATTACCAAAATACCGCTTCAGCTAGCCTACTGAGTAAAATGATTTAGATCATAATTACAAGAAAGAGAGAGATAGAGAATTCATCTTAATAACAGTCAAAATGAGAAAGTACATGGTTAGCCGTGCCATCACTTACAAAAAGATCATCAGCCAAAGAAAGAAAGTTACTGATCCATTAACATGAACGATGATACTGCTTATATTCCATCAGAATGTTGACAATGAAACCAGTAGCTAATATGACCGGAATGTTCACGTTGAGCAATAACTTTATCTGGAAGCTTCTTCACAAATTCTGCTCTGTAGCATATTTCCAATTGGCAGGACTGATGTGAAGTGCATTTCAGTTCATAACATCATACCTAAAAATTATTTTATCAGGGTAAAAGTGAATTTTACCTGGAAAGGATGTTCCCCTGGGGACAAAATTGAATTTAGATTGATGGCACTGCTTCTATCCTTACTGGAAAGCCACGACAAATTCACCTTTTTTTAAAAAATAAGTAGATAGATATGCTCCCGTAAGTACCCACACTAGAAAGGGAATAGCATAAATATTCATTTTGGCATGCCTAATTTAAGAAAAGAAAATTTGGTATACATGTATAAAATTGAAATATACTCTAATCCATATTTGCAAAGAAAAATGAAAGGAAAACAATAATTGAAGAAAGAGGTTACTGGGAACGGTTAAGGAAAGGAGATAAGAATACAGTAATTTAAAAGAGAAATAGAGAAACATGCTTTCACTCAAAAAGAGAGAGAGAACACGCTATTGAAATTTAGACATGGTGTTTGAACGATAGAGAGCTGACAGAGAACAATGGCAGATGGAAACTTGAAAAATGAAGAAAGAGAAGTGACAATTATCAAAAAAGAGAGGTTGTTATGAGGGCGGGAAAGACACACCATTTGCATAAATTTAAAGGGGAATCGTAATGTACCTTTTGATGATATTGAGCAAAGGGAACTGTAGAAACTAAAGAAACAACCATGAAGATCCCTGAAACCACCATTATCCAATAACCCATTAAACAAACACCAATATCAGAAAAATGAAAGTCACACCAGACCATGAAAAGAATCAGAAAATATTTCTTGCTCTGCTTTGAAAACGGTTTCCTGCTTTGTTGTCAACCCCAGACCTCCGATTCCATTGGAAGAAGATTTCTATACCTTAAAACCCAGGCTCAAAAAATAGCGAACAGAGCATAAAATGAAACAGGTGCGGACACTCTTGACCTCATCATGGACAACAGCCGCTTAGAAATAATGGAGAGGAAAGGTGCAGAAGGAGGAGAGACGGAGAAATAGAAGATTGGGGGGAAGATGCAGAGACAACAGAGGTGGACGTAGAAAGAAAGAAGAGGAGATGGCTTTTTTTCTCTTCTTCTTTTTTTCCTGGTCTGAAGGAAGAGGAGATGGTTAGCAAGCTAAGATAACTCGTACCCAATCATCAATCCGAAAGCCATCCTAACCTAATTCTCGGTGGCTTTCTGCACAGCCCAGGAGCTAAACTTCAATAAGATCAACTAAATAGGGAGAGGGAGATAATCATAATAGTGAAGACGCAGGAGGAAAATAAAGAACAATGCCAAATAAACCATACCAACCCCATTTTCTTCCACTGTTTTTCTCCATAACCGCTAGTTGCTGAAACTTTCGTTTATGGCGTGTGAGAGGTTGCAAAATCGGCCGGTTAAAGGAAGAAGTTGCAGGGTTCCTTCCATTTTGACGGTGAGAAGAAGAGTAAAAAAAACGTCGCAGAGATTTTTTTTTTTTTTTTAATTTCACTGTTATATAAAACTTGCTTACATATTTTTATAGAAAATGATTTTTTTAGAAAAATTATAAAATGATTAATATATTATGAAGTTAAATGTATAAATCAGATTGAGGTAAAAAGAAAATGTATAAATCAGATCATTCATTTTTTTTCTTACACACACACACATATATATTATTATAGGTATATAATGTTATTTTAAAATGTCAATTTAACTATTACGTCACCAATATAATAAAACGGTACAATCGATCCAAACATTTAAATTATAACCCACTAGCTTTTACAATCCGACTTTAAAAACATTAGATAAAAGCATTAAAATTAAAATAAATGAAAAAATATTAAAATAAATATTCCTGATGTTTGTCCTTAATCTCTACATTGCTCATATTATCATTTGTAATATTGTTTTTCCCATTCTTCAATTTCAATACCAACCTATACAAAACATGACTTTTAAGTGCCAAAGTCTTAATCAACAATCAAATAGCCACTTGTTAGGAAAGAATAGGAGGGGGGCAAAAAAAAAAAGTAATACTACCACCTTTCATATTTAATATAACCTCCTATTCTAATTATAAGATCTTGTTTATAATATACAAATAAGGTTTTATATATAGAACCGAAAATAATATAAGAACTAATAACTAATTTGAAAAGATAAACAAAATTAATTAAGTTGATTAATTATAACAGATGTGTCAACTTTTGTAAATTATCTTTTTAATCATGTGCACTGAAATTATCTTTTAGTAAAAACTCCTTATAATCAATAGGGATGTTTTAAGAAAAATATTATAAATTTAAGAGACAAAATGATTTTTTTTTCTTTACCAGCATGAGACAAAATGAATTAAGATTTCATATTTAGGATCAAATTTAATTTCCAACTAACTCCCATACCAAGAATATGAGGTAACACTACTTGAGGGATTGAAGACTTGATAATTGGTGTTAGGGAATCTCTTCTCAATAGTTAGTTACATGTGTCAGGAATTCTACAGAATATTAGTCCCCCGAGGCTCAACCAAAGGTTAAAATCAAACAGGTGCCGCATAGAATTAGCTCTTCACTACCTCCAATCCATGTACAAGCATAAGATCGTTAACCTAAAATATCAGTAAACAGAACTGAAAGCTCCCTTCCCACACTGTCCAACAATTAGTTGAAGTATTTCTTTCCCCGCTTGGTTTTGTCTACAACAGAGACGACGTGGTACCTAGGACAAACAAACAGTATAATTCAAAGATGTCACTAACATTGGTGACTCAGCTTGTAATCAAACAACATTATAAAGAGCTGTGAAACATACCAGATGCCAATTCTTGCTCAATGGCTGCACCAGTACCTTGATTTCATGCACATTATGAAAGGGGATGAATGAGGAAAGCAGAAAATTTTCTTTTTGAGATTGTTTCTTTCTCTAGTCCTTACATATGAACCCCAAGAAGCATTGCCTTCATTTCCAACATCTTTTAGAAAGAAGAGAATAGGCTTTCTACAAATAGATTTGGAAGGATCCCTGGCATCAAAGTCGAATTCATTCCTATGACTTATACCATTCAAGCTGAGTAGGTCCGTTCTGAGCGCTCCAACTCACGGGGTGAAACAACATTTGGCAAACTTGAACA